CTTCAAAAATAAATGAGAGGCAATGAAGTAATATATGTGACTTTCTTCCAATTTTGAAAGTAGTATAAATTGACTCCATAAATTACTTTAGTGCTTTGGAATTCCCGCTGTTGTAGATTTGTTTGAGTGTCACCTGATTATCAGAGCAACCACACATAACTGCCATCATTTGACTTTATGCTGGAGGTTGGGTGTTGTTTCCTGGAGGTCTGTGGAAAATGTTAGAAGGGATTAAGGTACTCTCTCTCAGCCTCACTTTTACACATGTGCTAGTGGTAAAATATTCTTTGCAAAATACATATATTCTCTTATTTAATGAAAAATACTACTGTAGTAATTAATTCAGAAAAATCAAAGAAAATAAATTTTTTCATCACTGAGTAAAAGGCAAAGCATAGCTTGTAGCCCAAGAAAAAGATTTAATCCATTAGTTACACAGCAGAAGCTTGAAAGATGCTCTGATTTCCAAAAAGAAAATCTATTCCTTAGAATAATAGTGTTCTTGAGACTCTGCTCAGATCTACCAGTGCTTGACATTTTAGCACCTGCTGAAAATGCTTCCAACTTCCAGCTTCTGCACCATCGAGCTGAGGGCCTTCCTGTACCGGTGGAGCCTTCCTGTACCGGTGGAGCCTTCCTTTCCTGTGTTCAGGAAGGAACAAAAATCCGGCATGACCAGTGTTCCCAGGCCCAGCACATCCAAGCAGTAGCTTCTTCAGACTTCAGGTGGAAAAAAATATGAGGTATGTATTGGGTACATTGTTTCACATAGCTCCTCAGAATGATAAGCTTCCAATTTTCAACAGTGTGTCTTGATCTACAATGTAAATTTTATTGTCTCTTCATCTTCCATATTTAAATTTGCCACTGTCATGTTGGTGTTTCTGGAATTAGATCATAGCCAACTGACCAGCCCACACCAAATCCTTGTCTCAGAGACTGCTTCTTACAGAAGCCAAAGAATGGTTACTACTGTTATCTTAGATCCCATCCCATTTATCAGATATTAAAGATGATCACAAACATATTTCACATTTCTGACACAGAGAGGTGAGATCTAAGATTCTTCAGAAACTTAATTAATATACTCAATATTATTATTGATTGAAATTATTTTTTATATCATCCAGGATTTCCTGTTCCTTTGTTCACTCTTTTTATTTACATTTTAGTCCTTTCTGGAGACTCCATTTCTTTTGTCTTCTAGTATAGTAATATTTAACCTATATTTTGATAAAGATTTATTTGCAGTTATTTTATGTGGATTTTTTTTTCTGGAATGTACTCAATTTAGTTACCTGATAAATTTAGTTGACCTGATAAAATTTAACTAATGACTTGATATACAAATTTAAGTTTCTAGTTAGAGAAGTTCAGCATTTTTTCTTTTTTTTTCATTTTCATGTATTTCAATATAGATATTAATATGTAGTTTATTATGTTTTATTTTCAGTAAAGATTTTTACATGTAATTATTTTTAATAACTTTCTGGAATCCTCTGTATTTCATTAAAGTGTAAATTTCTTTTTTATTCATTCTGCTTGGGATCCACTAAGACTTATGAATATAAGAAATCAAGACTTAACTGCAGAAAATGTTCAAGGATTATGTTTTTCATGGTCTCTCTTTTCTACTCTGCTTATTTTCTTTCACATCAATTAGCAATATATTGTTCTACCCAATTCATTCTTTCATATAGATAAGAGCATTGTCAGGGTCAGGGATTTAGCTCAGTGACATAAGCTCCTGCTTGGCAAGAGCAAGGTCATGAGTTTGATCCCTGGTACAAAAAAAAAAAAAAAAAAAAGAATTTCAATTTATTATATCTCTTTAATTCCTCTGATTTATTCATACCATTTTATTGAGCTCTTATTTCCAGTCTGTGGTTTTTTAAAGTGTGTATATAATCTGATTTAACTCTTCTATAACATCTTTCCACAACTAATTTTTCTATTTCATAAAAGCCATTTACTGGTATCTGCAGCTAGTTGATTGTGAATCCATAACCAGTCACCAGATTCTTGGATAGAACCTGTGGATTATTCCTAAACAGGAACTATTCTCAGTGTCCAGCCTGTAAGTATCAAATCTTCTGAATTGAATGATTCAGTTCAGAACATAGCAAATAAAAACTCAAGTTTTTCTTTACATAAATTTAGTTACATTTACAGTATTTATACTTAAAAATGTATATATGATTTAAGTTACTTATGAAGAAAACACATTGATTTATTTAATCAACAATTGAAGGAAATATTTTTAATTAAGCCCCTCATAAGCTTACATTTTTTCATCAATTTGCTGAAAATTTGCATAGTGTTCTCCCTAAGAAATCCATCCTACACCTGAATACCATGAAAAAAGCTTGAGGCATCATATTTTCTGACTTCAAAAATACACTGTAAAGCTATATTTTTACAGCTATGTAATATAAAAACTAAATGATGCTAGCAAAAAACAGATATATCAATCAATGGAAAAGAACAGCCCCAAAGTAAATCCACACATTTACAACCACCTGATTTTTTAGCAAAGGAAGTGAAATCAGTGTCAAAAAGGTACCTGCACTCCCATATAATTAAAGTGTTATTCACAATGACCAAGAAGCGTCAATCATTGGCTTAATGGACAAAGGAACTGCAGTGCCAGATACATTATATATGTGACACTATAAACATATATATTTCACATAATAGAACAGTATCCAGCCATAAAAAAGAATGAAGAACTGCCATTTCCAGTTAAATGAATGAAGCTGGAGGAAATTATGGTAAGTGAAATAAATCAAGCACAGAAAGATATCTGCTGCATAGATTTCATGTATATATGGAACCAAAACAGTGGTATCACAGAAGTAGATAATAGAATAATGGTTTAAGGAAGGGAAGAGTAGAGTAAAAAGGAGATGGAGATTTCATTGACAACAAAGTTACATTTAGATAAGAGAAATAAATTCTAAATATTTTATTGCATGATAAGGTGACTACAGTCAGCAATATTGTACTGCAAGTTGCAAAATACTAGTAGAGGGAATTCTGATTTTTGTCCCAACAATGTCAGTGACTGAATTAGTCAATTTGATAAATCCATATTGGTCATTACATAACACATATATATATAAGGCTATAATATACATAACCTATAAATATATAATTTCTATGCATAAAGGTAAAATAAAACACATTTACCTTTAATTTTTAAAATGGACATACTTGATATGTGATGTAAGTATACGGTGAATGTTTACATTATGAGAGTTATTACATTGAAAGATACATGGCCATTAATCCCCCTCAAAACACATTCTTTTTCTTCAACCACACAGTTCTTGTACCTTCTGAAGCAGTAGTGAAGCTTCCTTCCTAAGTGTCTTCCCCAGGTGTGGTCAGAATTCAGTGAATGTGCTGAGTAATCACAACTCAAATGAAGGCTCATAAAACACTTGATGTGTCTCGTCTCACCTTCTTCACTGTGTGTCACTTTCACGGGGCTTTTATCTCTTCCCCAAAAGCAAAATTACCCTGAAAAAGGGGCTGGGGATTTAGCTCAGCGGCATAAGTACCTGCCTTGGAAGCAGGCGGTCGTGAGTTCGATCCCCAGTATCGATAAAAAGGAAAAAGACAAAAAAAAAAAAAAAAAAAAAAAAAAATTACCCTGAAAAGTCAGAGTTTTTGCATCAATTCAGAACATCCAAACTGCCACAACTGTGCAACTAAAGACACTCATGAAAGGAGACCGCTAAAACTGCTTCAGAAAGTGCCGAGCACAATGGGATAAGTACATTCAAAATGCAGGTAAATATTTTGAGATACATTAATGATAATGAGTTTTTTACTGCCATAGTTTTTTAAAAATTTAAATAGTCATTGTATTTTTATGCATCTATTGGTCTATCAATTGATAGATTCTATCCTAAATATAATAAATTTACATTTATCACTGAAAAAACCACTGAGCAAGATCCTTAATTTCAAGAATAGTCCTTTTAGGTACTTTCAGAATGATAAAGAAGTATTTTCTATTTTTTTTTTTTTTTTTGATACTGGAAATTGATCTCACGAACTCACGTTTGCCAAGCAGGCACTTAGGCTGCTAAGCTAAACCCTCGGCTTTTATTTGTTTCTTAATCATATTTCAAAACCGTTAAACATTTTACAGTTTCAGAACTGTAGGAAAATTTATGATTGAATAAATACTCATGTTTTTCCGAAAATACACTAAAAAGATGCTGACAACATGACCATAATTTGATTTTAATTACAATTTTCATTTGTTTTGTTTTGAAAATAAAAGAGATTAATATAGTATAATTGTCTATCTTGTGCATGCATATGTATCTTTTTTTCAGTTATAGACAAAACAAAATGTGTTGAGCAATTCTTCTTCATATGAACACCACAAACAGCCTTTCTACATGAATGTTTCTTCCCAGGTGAGCAGCACATGCAAAGAAAGGCGTGTTCATAGGGCAGCAGTATTATCTCTTTAGTGAGGCACCACGGCAGATGAAAAGTGTCTTGTACATGTGTTGGTTCTGTCTATTCTGTTTGATTCTGTTTGTGAGCTGTTTTTAAAAAGTATGAATATTTTTATTACTATTAAAATTAACAGAAAAAAATTTTAAACTTCAGTGTTAAAACTTGGATAGCCAAATTTTGTTTTCTTATCTCTCACTTAAAATAAGTGAATTTTATACAGAAACTAATGAGTTTTCATATTATGCAGGTAAAATTCAGTTTTTTTTTTATTTACCAGAGAGATCATTATTTAAATAATGGTTGAAATATATGTTTTAAATTGTCATATGAATTGTGAAGCTTTCATATAATAATTTGCCAAACATTTATAACAACCTAGACATTGCCACTCACCATAAATGTTTACCATTCTAATAAATCTAATCTAAAGTCATTGTTGATTCCGGCTTCATATTTTCTCTTACTGCTTTTACTAAATCATTTCATTCTCAAAATGCTGTTCTTAGACGAAACAAATTTACCTTTTCATGGTATTTTTGTTCGTATTTCACTGCTGTCTTCATGTTTCAGTGCGTAATTCTGGAAATTCAAATGCAAAATTCTAGTTATATTAAGAATGTATTAGCTCAGTGGTGTAAGTGCCTCCCTCGCAAGCATGTGGTCATGAGTTTGATTCCAGGTACAAAAAAAAATGTAAATTTATTCAAATAAATTGTCCAAAAACTATGCATGTTCTGGCAGTGGAACTACTCTACTGGTCAACTAAAAGCAATTTTAATTATCTTTTTTCTTAGAAAGTAGAGGTGCTGTATGTATTTTTCAAATAAACTGAATCCTGTAACTCCATTAAAGAAACTGATGGCAGATCTTCAAATGCTTATGCCAAGCAGAAGTCTGTGAGCCACCTGTGGTCATACATAAATTCAAACTGAAGCTGGATCCAGCATTCTAAAACTTAAGTTTCTATTACTTGAGTTCTAGCAAAATGTAAGATTCTGTAGCCTCAACCAATACAATGTCTCCCCTGCCCAAATCCAGAATGACTAGACTGGAAGCCATGCTGGGAATGATTTTCAAACTGAGCACCTGGTAGGTAAGTCTAACCTCCCCTTCCACAATGGAACACAAAGTAAGAGATTTTTGCTTAGTGTGTAAGGTCCTTTATTATTGCTGCAGAAAACAAAAGTCTGAGTGAGCTTCTGCCTTATATGCTCCTTTACTGAAATCCACATGACATGCTTCTTGCTGGGTTTTTGTATACATAAACATTGTCAAATTGTGAAAGAAAATGACTGAAGCTGTGCTTTGTGTGAAAGGTGAGAAATAAAGTATCCACACACTCAAAAAAAGAAAAGAATGTAAATTTAAAAATATCTTTAGTAAAATGAAAATATCTTTAATAAAGTGTAAATATCTTTGTGAAGACATATTAGTCCATATGACTGTTAGCCTACAACCAAAAGTCTAACACCATACTTCTAGTCCATTATCCAAAACTTCTTAAAGAATAGAATAGAAATTTGTGCAAATCAGTTAATCTCAAATTTCAAATGTGCAAAATATATCTGAACAAAAGTTTTCATATTTTCAAATCCATAGAAAATTGTCAAATTCTCGTTAGTTAAGTGATTGCTTTCCCAGAAGTATACCTTAGGAAGTTGACTCCAGACAGTGTGGAGTCATTCTTTTGAGGAGAGGCATAACTTTCACAAGTGAAAAGTAGTCCATAGTCTATCTAAAGCAATCAGATGATGAACAAATTTGCACCTCTAAAAGCAAAGAATATGTTAACATAGAGAGGTATATGCAGAAGACATGGTAAAGAGACACTGGGAGCAAAACCACTTTGGTATGAAAATCTGTGGTTTCTACTTCCAACCAATAGTATTTCTATGAGCTTTCCATTTCAGCATCTATTACTATTAGCCTTCTGAAACAAAAAGTGGTATAACCCTTCCATGCAGCTCTACACAATATCCAGTAATCTGTCGCACTTAGTTTACTAGATTATTGGTGATAATGGACTCACATGATACACTCTTCGTTCAGTTTCCATGACACCATATTTCCATCCTTCCTATGCCCAAACATGCAACTGAGCCCCAGACTCAGAAAGTCAATAGCTACTTAGCAGTACTTACAATTTTCATTCATAGTAATTATCTAGATGCTAAAATTTGTGATTAATATGCCTATACTTTACTCCCCTCTTCTTCCTTATCTCAGTAAAAGCTACTATTAATGATTCTATTACACAAGTCTTTTTTCTTCATCCATAATTAAAACCTTTCAGCCATCACCAATTTTGAAATATATCCAAAAATTTATCTCTATTGTCACCACTCAAGGCCAAATCACCATCAACTATCAATCAGGCTACTTAAAAAGCCTCTCAGCTTCTTTATTAAGTTGTAAATCCATTCTTTACATTAGAAACCAAATTCACATGTTTAGCTCTATAAAAACCTAAAGGAAGTTATATGACTGCAGACAAGTCCGTAGCACAAGCTCTTATACCACTGGACGCCCTGCTCACTAGGCTTTAGATGTATTTCCTCTCCATTTGTTCCTACAGTACTGTCAAATTGGTTCCATCTGGTTGATTTTGTACTTTTTGTTTTAGAATAAATGACCTACTGATTGTCACATGCTGTTATCTTTTGGATTCTTTGAATCTAGCTACAAAGTTATCTACTTATTGAAACACTCCCCGGTTACTTAAATTATCACTCTGGCATTCTCTAACAGGTTTACCTGTCTTAAATTCTTTACCACAGCTTTCTTTATCCAAAATTAAGTTTGGTATATCCAACTATATTTTCTCTACTAAGAGAAAGGTTTTATAAATGCAGAAAGTTTTATTTGTCATTATATCACCAGTGCCCAGAAAATCATCAAGAAATAATAAATATTTGGTGCATAAATGTTAAGTAATTCATAATTTGAAATGTAGTGAATAACACAGAGAATTAACCACAGCTCAAATAGGGAGACCAAATGACTAATTAAATAGTGATGATATTAATGAGGATAGCAACTCAGACAGCAGATGAAATTTATAAAAGGCACCCTGAGTTGGCTGAATAAGAAGTATCAAGATTATCTAAGTACTGATTTTCAAGAGTAGAAGCATAATGGAAAGATAGGGGCAAGAAATACAGAGCTGAATTTATTGGCATACAATCATAACTGAAGGGGATGAGCTCACTAAGATGACTTAATACAGAAGAGAATGACAAGCACTGAATGTCAAGGATTGAGAAATGTAGAGTTGGGAAAAAGCGAGGGGAATGTGAGCCAGAGCAGAAAAGTGTTCACATCCTCACCACGTATAAGGTGATGAGATTCTTCAAAAGGAACAAAGGCTTCAGCATCAAGAGCGATGGGTGCACAGTAACTACTGCAGCGGATGAAACATAGTAACTACTGGACTGAGACAGGGATATCCCAAGCCAGCTTGCAAATGTTGAAAGGTGAAAGCAAGATGAAATAGTGGACAGTGAGCACAGAATAGTCTCTCACAGCATGACACTACTTGGTAGGAAAGCGTGTGGAAGAACAATTTGGCTAGATCTTTACCATAAGAGCAATTTAAACGAATGAAATCAAAGAAATGGAAGAATTAATGGTGAAAGCCAGGGTGTCGATAAAATAGGTACCAATAACATGCCAATGAAGTGACTGAGGTTACATTCTCAAAACAGTGAGCAATTTGTCAGCTAACTATCTTGTAAACGGTGGAGGCAGATAAGTACGCAACATGCTTTACACATGGAAGCACTGCGAAGACCAAACTAGAGCAGAATGCTTAACATGCAGCATAAACTATGTATCACTAACGAACTCTGCCTGGCAAAGTCACCAGTTATTGCTCATTGGCAGCTAACTTTTTAACTGTGTTGCAATTATCTGTTCACTCATTCTCTCCCTGTTGCCCATACCTGTCCAATTCGAAAGGAAAAATTAGTTGGCAGAAAACTACAAAAAACTGAAGACTTTATAGTTCACTCTTGACGTAGTTTTGTTAAAATAGCAATACGATGCCACACAACCAAGACAGCAGTGATATTAGCCCTTTTTCATTGCAAATACGTCCTCATTTTGAATGATAAACATTACAATTCATAATCATCCTATGTAACAATAAGATATATGCCATTTTAACAATGAATTGACAAATAGCAATTCATAACCTAAAAACACACAGACAACAGAATCTGTCCACACAGTGGGTTTGTGAGTTTTATACCATAGAATAAGATGCTGTGTACAGGTTCTGAGTAGTGGTCTCCAGACACTGCTCCACACATGTGTTATCTCGTTCAGTTCTGACAGTAAGACTAGATGAGAGAATTTTATAGTTCTCATTTAGTAGATAAATGAGGAGACAGAAATTAATTAACTTGACTAAGGTAATAGCAGCAAATAGTGGAACTGAATATCCAAAGCAGACAACTTGTAAGATTTTAAGGTATTCATGAGTGCAGACGTAAAATGACTATGATGTGATTTAAGAGATAAATGAAACCAGTAGGAGACTTTAAACAGGATGAGAAGAAAAAGACAAGAATTGAACCCAAGGATAAAATATTAGTTCAATAGATGGAAGGGGCTGATTGAGTGGGCAGATGAAAGGCTGTGGTCAGAAGAAGGGATTTCAAAGTTTGCAGCTGTGTTCCTGAAACCATGATAGACACTGAAACTCAGGGAAGTAGCCATTTTGGGAGTGCCTGGCTCACATTAGGGAAGCTAATGAATGTGTTGGAAATTTAAAAACTCAAGAATTTATGAGCCGGTGAGTTAAATAGGAAAGTATTTACATAGTATTATCAAAAACTGTGATTAACTTTTCTCCCCTTTAATACCAATTTACCTTTTGCTTTTGTGCTCAGGCATTCATCTTTCATTCATTACCTCTAGGAGCTGTAGTATCTAGGCAATAGTACTATTCTATATTTTCTGGTCCTTTGATATATTTTCTTTAGTAAAAATAAGTTTATTGTTCCTGTGTGGCTTCTAAGTTTGATAATAATGATATTTCAGAGCAGAAATAGGGAGTTACCTAGTAGCAAAACCATTCATTTTTGCAAAAAGAAATCTTTAGAATTTATCTTTATGATCCCAGGTCAAATCTCTCACATCTGCTTTTGAGTACTTGTTCAAAGAATTTCAAATAAAAAATGGAACAATAAAATCACCCCTCTCCCTATTTCTCTCTCTCTCTCTCTCTCTCTCTCTCTCTCTCTCTCTCTCTCTCTCTTTCTCCTCTCTCTGTCTTTTCAATATTGAGGATTGAATCCCAGGCCTTGAGCATGCTAAGCAAGTATTCTACCTCTGAGTTACATTGCTAGCTTTTCTTTTATTTAAAAAATATAAAATGTATGAACATAAAAATTAACTATCATACTTGATTATATAATTGTTACAAAACAAATTGTGTTCATTACAAAATCATAGTTGAAAAGGATATAAATATCCTAACCAGTTCTTTTATTTACTCATTAATGTGAAATGATAGAACTGTAACTTGATAAAGTATTGATGTATGAAAATATACAAAGTAGAATGTATTCAGAAAT